ATTTATTTATTTATTTAATACTTTTTGGGAGTGACAACCCCATCTTAATTTAGTTAAGGGCCAAACTAATAGCCCTTAGGTTGATACCTTTTTTTTCCAGAAATGCTCTCTTTCATGTGGTAAAAATTGTTTGTTTGTTTTACAATAACATGATTTTCCTCAGCTGCGTATCTTATATGTAACATGCTTTGTTGTATGATTGGTCACTATTGGGTAAAGAGCCAGTGGTGCTGTAGTGGATAGAGTGCTGGACTGAAACTTGGAAGAGCTGGGTTTGAATCCCAGCTCAGGGAAGGCAACTCACTAGGGGGAAGCAATGGTAAACCACTCTTTCAGTACCTCACCTACTTCGAAAACCTTATTAGAGTCAACTAGCAACAAGAGTAACCCATTATGTCAATCCCTATTTATGAAACTTCATTACTAGGTAAACTTGTAGACAAACATTTTTTCATTAAAGGTTCCCACTAACTGTTGAACTTGTTCTGTGAAAGTGCCGCTGAAGGAATACTTGAACTAAGAAGTACTCCTTTAAACAAGATGTTTGCATCTCTTTTCACTGTGAGTGCACATCTAGTGATCGCAAACATCTTGATGTAGTACCTGTGGACAGTTATGTGCTTTGCCTTGACCTTGACATGGGCTGTTGTTTCAAAGCCTCCAGGCACACTGCTGGCCTTTTGGGACTTCATTCGCCTCCCTCTCCCCTTTTCTTGACAGGAAGCAGTGTGGAGTTTGACTGGTGTGCCGTTTCTTGCATCCGCACGTTGCGCCAGCTCCACAAAAAGACGGTTGTCGTGAACTGCAACCCAGAGACCGTGAGCACTGACTTTGATGAGTGTGACAGGCTCTACTTTGAGGAACTGTCGTTGGAGAGGATCTTGGATATCTACCAACGGGAGGTAAAATAATATTTAAAAATCTAAAATATCCTGAAAAGAATTTTTTAAAAAACGGGGTCTCATAAAACATGTCAAACCCTTTGCAAAGTCAGTCTGATCTGCACCTCTTAAAGTTGGTTTTCATGTGTGGTATTCCATTGTGCATGGCATTTCTCTTCTGAGCAATTATTCGGTCATGAACGCCAAGTAAATGTAGATACTGCCCCCTTGCCACAAAAGATGGCATATTGAACAATATTTACAAGCTGACTTAATTTGTTTCACAGTTATTTATGGCTCAAATTGTCCTGCCCTTGGTGAGCTTAATTTTAACCTGTGCTTGTGAAAGCAATTACACACATGCTTAATTTTATGCATGAAGACAATGCCACTGAGGATAACATAATTTTTCAAAACCTAAACATAAACTTAAGGACATCTGGGGTGTGTGCGTGCATGAGTGTCCATGTTCCTGTTCGACGTTACAGTAACTTTGATGGGTTGCTTTGGCACGTTGGCAGTAAATTTGGAAGGTCTGTGTCCCTGAAAAGGGCTGTTGATTATCTTTGATTGCAAAATATCTAAAATAATTAAGTTTTGTTTGCCATATTGTTCCTAAAAGTAGAGGCCCTGTTTCCTGTGGGCTCTATGTGTCATCTAGTTAATATCATCTGTCCAGTGTTCCTCCTTGTCCTCCAACCAAACAGGTGAAAGGCCTCTAAGCTTTAGACTACATAAGGACTTGTCCACTTGTGCGTGTGTCTGTGTGCATCTGGAATTGCTCCCCAAAGTTAGCCTTGAAAACGTGCTTTCAGTGTACGTGACTAAAGGAACATCCCATCATAGTAATCTGGACATTACTGACAGAGAACATCCATACCTATGGGGCTTTACCAGCTGCAGCTGGTTAGCAGCAGTTTTTGAACCTAAGGTTCACTCTGGATACCCCCAACCTTTTGGATGAACTTCAGGGAGGGCGCCAGGTAATGATTGCCATAACAGAGCTGCAGAGCTGGATGGGACCCTCTGGATCATCAAGTCAAGTCCCTGTCAAGAAGGCACAATGGAGAACCTCTGGCTCCACAACCATTTACCTAAACCACTGAGCTATTCAACATTTCCATTATAACATACTGGTTGGACTGGAACCTAGGAGGTGCAGGTTCAAGTCCCCACTAAGCCATGAAGCTTCCTATCTGACTGCGTGACTCTTCCTCAACCTGATCCACCTCAAAGGGTTGCTGTGTGGATAAAGTAGGGATGAGGTGAGATACATATGCTGTCCTGAGCTCATTGGAGGAAAGCCAGGATAGACGTTTAAATAATAAATAGAATAAATAGAGGAGAAGTTGGAAAGCCCCAATGTCAGAATCAAGGCAACCTTGCGCTTCTCTGGATCCAGGCTAATTTCATTTCCTTGCTGATACTAGATGATGATCAGAGGTGATGAACTGCACTAATGTTGTTTAACTTTTTCTTTTTTAAAAAAGGGATCTAAACCTTTGTCTTCTCCTTTCTATAGGACTGTGATGGCTCCATTATCTCCGTAGGAGGACAGATTCCAAATAACCTGGCCATGCCACTTTACAAAAATGGAGTTAAAATTATGGGTACAAACCCGCTGCAGATTGACCAGGCAGAAGACCGGTCTGTATTCTCAGCTCTTCTAGATGAGCTGCAGGTGGCCCAGGCACCTTGGAAGACCGTCGGTTCCTTGGTATGAGGACATACCGCTAGTCTGTCTTTAGTAACTGCTTGAAGATGATATTCAGAATGTAATTTTGCTTGCCCTGATTTGAAAGAGTCCCTTTATCTTTTACCAGTGATTTAAGAGCAAGCATTCCAAGGGGGGCAAGCAACGTGGTCCAGTTCTGACTGATTATAAACAAGAGACGAAGTCTCAGGATGTAGAAATTAGAATCAAATACTTTATTCTGTGTTCTTTAAATGGGTAGTTAAAAAGCTCTGGCTCAACATGTTTCAGCGAAGCCTTCTTCAGGAACTAAACATAATACAAAACCAAATGTTAGATATCGATTCATTCACATTTTCTTTTGAGAAGATATATATAGTTCTGACCGAACCAGTAAATTTATATTTGGGCTTTATCATTTCTGAACACACATGAGGGCTACCTTAACTGTATTCACTAATACGTAGACATTCTCTCTACTGAAAACTGTGGTCAGTGTCCTGCTGGGGACTTCTGCCTTTGTGACTAACACTGTGGATGGTTGCACTGTTTGGTTAGGAGATCTGTTGCATGACTGATTGCACAATTGGTTGCACAAGCAGTTGCACAATGCACATCTCACCAGATGTCAGAACTGGCTGCACAATGTTTGCTGTGTACAAAGCAGGATTTTGGCTTATGTCAGAGAGAAAGCAAGGCTTGAATGTTTTCCTCTGGCATTCTATTTTTTTAAATATGAAAATAATGGCAGGGGAATAGTGGTGTAAAAACACTGTATTCTCTCCTGTCTGTGGTCCAAAGTGGGCTTGTCTGGACCCATGTTTATCACTTCAGTGGGCACTATTATGTACCATGCCTAATAGATACCATCCAGACTGACAACTTAATACATATACAGTGGTGCCTCACTTAACGACGATAATCCGTTCCAGGAAAATCACCGTTAAGCAAAAACATTGTAAAGCGAAATAAAATATTGTCTTAAAGCGGATTTGTCGTAATGCCCGGCAACTGTTAAGCGAGGCACCACTGTAATATGGTAAAACGTACTTTGATAATCCAGAGGAACCTGTCATCTGAGAGACCAATACTGGATGGATTCTTGAGTCTAGAATTTAAAAACCTGAGTTGCAAGATTTTAAAAGCATGTCTACATTTAGTGCATGGTAGCTTCTGGTTAGGAAAACTATTGTCTGTGTCCTTTGTGAAGCCTAAATTTGCATCATTCTTCATATGGATATTGACTGGATTTCAGCTATCAAAGGACGGCTTATTGCCAGCCTCTGTTTGTTTCATTGCTTTCCTGGCTATTCCATTTCTGTATCTATTGGGAAAGTTTCCTTTTAAAAGCACTCACCCATCCATCTGTCTTTCCTTCAGACATACTCTGCCTGAGAGGGTCCCCCCACAAAAAAAAAGGATGAAGAGAAAAGATATATGAATCATTTTCATAATCAATGGGGAAAAACACCACAGATTACCTAGTTGATTTGAGGTCTACCTTAGGCTGCAAATGTAATGCAAATTTTAGTTCTTTTGAGATCTCCAAATGTCTAGGCATCCTTGCCATTTTTAAAAAGAAGTAATGTTTTCCATATTTTTAGGACGATGCAGTTGAATTTGCGAACTTGGTTGGCTACCCATGCTTGTTGAGACCTTCCTATGTTTTGAGGTAAGCCATTTTTTTTGCAACACAGGTTGAATTTCCTGCACTTCTTACACACACCAAAGCATGAAGGGATCAAATACTATTAAAGTTGTATGTCAACACTGTACAGTTTCTCAACTCAGATGAATAAAAGAGACAGTGAAAAATTAGTTGTCCTTATTAGACAGTTCTTTATTGAGATGAAGACTTGACTTCTCAGTTTAACATTGTGTTTACATGAGGTCGAACTTAATTATTTTGCCATTAGGCAACAATACCATCTCTTCCATTTCCCATTAATCCAATCAAACTGCAGCTTGTCTGACAGATGTTTCAGATAACAATAAAACATTACATTTCTAAAAATAACAACGTGCCAACAACATTAGTTTTTAATGTAAAGCAATGACTTGTAAATTGGTCACTCTTTTGTTATAATAAGAGACTGTTAATTGTTGTGTTCAAATATTATAGTTGGGCAACATTTTGGTGAGACCTGGGGGGCTGTAATTGGGATCCTTGTATTAATGTTAATATTCTTTAAAAAGAAAGGTTTAAAAAGTAACTAAAGCGCATAACACACTCTTGGGAGAAGCTACAGTAGTGAATAACATTAACAAATTACACTTTCAGTGTAATGAATAGTAATTATTTTTAAAAAGGAACCTTCTGAAGTCTTTCACCTATTACCATAGCTCTGTATTGTCGGCACAAAATCATTTCTAGGGTTCCTTCCTTCTCCTTCCTGTTCCCATTTTTGTCTGTTCCTTCTGTCCTGGCATTTGGACAAATTCTCATATGACCATGAGATAAATGTTGACCTACCAGATCTGGTTCAACAGCCCATTCCTAACAGTGACTGACTAGGTGCCCATCAAACCTGCCCCACAGTCTGATATAGAAATGGGAGCTTTCCCAGGGGAAATGAATACGAAGCTCAGCACCACAGGTGCCATAGCGGTCTTTTCCCACCCTGGAGAACCAGCCCAATCACTGGGCTCCTCACAGTGTGCATGTCCAGCAGTGGCAACATTGTGCTAATTGTGCTAAACTGGCGCTGCCCTGTTCCTCTGCTCAGCAGCTGGACAGGGAGACTCATTGATGTTAAAAGCTTCCTCAAGGGAGTTTTGAGATGAACAATATTAAAATCTTAAAAATGAATTGAAGCAGCACCGATGAAAATTAATAATGATAAAGCACTAAAAGAATGAAAATTTAGCAATCCCCCTCCGTTTTTGAAAGCAGAGTAGTGTCTTGCTTCCTTAAACCCAAGTATGAAAAGACTGGGCCAGTCTTCCTTGAGAATATGTTTTACCTTCTGGGGGTTGCCAGTGAGAAGGCTCTGTACTTCAGAGTCACCTACCGGTGTCAGCGGAGGTGCATAGAGCAGGACTTCAAAAAATGACCTGAGGGATTAGGCAGGTTCAAAATCAGGTAGATAAATGTTGAAAGTAAATGCAGTGACACAAACATTTTTGACATTTCTTTTTTTAGGCCTCCTGGAACCTTGAGAATTATCTGTAAATGTCAGACTGTTATTTACACATAAGAAGGTGGGTGGGTGGGTGGAGGACTGTGAATAATAATAAATTGGAAATTACTCTTAAGAATAAGCTCATCTTGCCAGCATCACTTTTCTCATAAAGAGAACAGGCATACCAGCATCATGTTGACAGTATCTTCAGAGACGCTCTTCTATCTGAGAAGTGTTCCTTTACCTGTAACTGTTTTATGTCAAATTTATGCTGTGGCAGCTGTTTTCTTTTCCCAGGCCTTGGTTGACAAAACAAAACAAAGAGAACTGGGAATAAGTTGAATCAATGTGAAGAGATGTTCTAAATAGTTCCTCTCCAAAGCTTAATGCAGCAAAGTGCTTATTCACAGATGAGAGGATAGGAAGAGAAATAGAGTTTGCTGAGCACCGTTTGCAAGTGGAAATGGAAATTGAGCTGAAGCCTTTTGATAATAAAAGAGAGGCAGACTATCAATCTGAGGAATGCAACCTTGACAGTGGTTGAAGCAGGAAGAATGTTTTAGCAAGAGAAAAACCTGCCCCAAATGGTTTCTGGTAGAGTGAAGTGTTGTGCATATAGATGCAAACAGTTTTTTTTATGATGCAATTAACAATGAGTTATCGTTAAATAATTCAGTCAAAAGATCTTTTCATTGAGCTGTTTGAAGCAAAATCCATGGGATTCTCAAGCATAGGCAAGTATGCTTGATCAAAATGGTGGATCCCTTAAAATGTTTTGGAAAAAGAAGAGCATTATACGGAAGGTGTTTTCCTCTTGTAAAGATAATGAGCACATTGGGGAAAAAAATCTGTTGAGCCAAGCCTAAATAATTTCAGCTTCATTATTTCCAATATGATTTGAATAATAATAATTAGCCGGTTTATGTCCTTACTGGTGCGGTCAACATATGGTTTGCCCCAGCATTTGGGGGTAAGGCACAACATTGTTCAGAGACATTTCTGCTGACCACAGTGAGTAGACGTATATGATGTGTCACAAAGTAAGGAAAATAGGAGAAGTATCAACTGTAGGCACAATTTAAGGGGCATTTCAAATACTCACCTTTCTCATGGGACAAAAAAAAGTATTGCACACAGGTTGGGCTGCTGGTTCTACTGTCTTAAGTTTGTCACTGCCTCTGTAATCTGCTTTGATCAATTATAATGCCTTAACTTGTTAAACAAAATTACATGCCAAAAATAATTTTTTTAAAAAATAGTTGAATAGATGCAGCTTTCTCCTTATCTGGAAGGTAATCTAGTCACACATGTGCCATGAAGTTAGTTTGATTATTCTACAAGGAAGTTCCTCTACTGGGTCACTATGTTTCATTCTGGCAAGGTTTGGGGCAATAACAAGTTAATGAAAGAGTGATATTTTTTTAGGTTTGAGGTCTTAAATATTGTTGTGATATTTGTCCACTGCATCCCATTGTTTGGGGCATTCATTTTTATTAAGAACTCCCCATTCTGCCCCGTTCCATTCTGTTCCGGCATTTACCTAGTCCCACGTTACACAAATAAGCACTGAAAACACATGGGCTCAAAATGCTGAAGTTATACTTCTGACCCCTTTAGAAGGCTGAACAGTAGAAGATACTTGAGGAAGCATCTGCTACAGAACCCAAACTTTTTTCCTTTTAGTCTTTGGTCGAGAAATCCCTTTTTCTTTTAGTATGTTCTTGGAAGCACTCACCTTCTGAGGTAAATATAATCCTTATTCACTTTGGTGAACAGTCCATCCATCCTTTCATCTTACAAAGAATGGGGGCAGTGGTTTGAATGGGAGCGGTATTTTGAAGATAAAAATATACTGGTACGATGGCATTTTAAACCTAAGACTTCTTCTTTCTTTCCTCCTAGTGGTTCAGCAATGAATGTAGTATATACAGAAAAAGAGATGAAAAAATTCTTAGCAGCAGCAACTAGAGTTTCACAGGTATGAAAATGACTTTACATTTCTACATTTACCTCAGAACTTTCAGCTTCTGAAAGTGTTCATGTTTCACTCATTTGGTTTTCATTTTATCATTTTATCATTTCAGGAAATGAGGTAATTTAAATAAAATTAATTTTACTTTTTGTTTCTTATCTTCATACACCAGTTGGTGCATCTATGTGGGCATAAATGGTGATGATCATTTAACTGGCCCATGGCCTTACTTACCTTCGATTTATTTGAAGTTTCCTATTCCCCCTCCAGGTTCCAAAGTTTCTTACACAGATCCCTTTTGACTTTGGAAGCCTCAGATTGCCAATGAGATTGGGAACATCAGCAGTAACCTCATGCCAATTTCCTAATACAGTAAGACTCCCCATCCATAGGAATTCTCTTATCTGCTGCCTGAAAATATTAAATTACACACACACACCCCAGAAATCCACATTTATATGTATTTCCTGTCTGTACTTACCAGGAGTCGCCACTAGACCATGTAATCAATACTTCTGTGTTTTTCTACATCTGCACAGTGGGCGGTTTGTAACTGATCCTAGAAGTACAGCGGTCCTACTATATTAAAGACTCCTTCCATTCTGAGGCTCTCATAGTCTTTCCTAGGTCAAAAGGGAATCTGTTGTTAGCTTTGAAACGGGGGTGGAGATGGGGTAGGAAACTTTTAAATTATAGTAAATCAAATTGGATTAAAGAGTAATGCTGCATATTGATGATGTCGTCATATTTACACCACATAGTTATTCAACAGGATTTCAGTCCTTGTACCTCACATAGTTATAACACTTAGAAGCAATTGGTCCCTCTCTAACTTTTACAGGACTTCATTATGTAGCTGAGGAACACCAAGACATAGCAATGGATTAGGCCAAGATTTTACCTCGATTCTTGCAAGCTTCTAACTGTTTAACTCAACTGAAATTGGGGGGGTGGGATTTGATTTGAATCCTGTTGGATTGCAACTCCCACTAGCCTAAGCCAACATAGCCAGTGGTGAGGAATGCTGGGAGATGAAGTCCAACAGCATCTGCAAGACCGCCACTGGAAAAAAAACAATCCATGTTTCGGCATGGGAAAGGTTCTGTGCGAATCAAAGAGACAAATGGAACCTGTGAAAAAAAATTCATTGGAAGTGTTCCTTTTTGTGTTCTAGCCATGGCTTGGGATTTTTTTTAAAAAAATCTGTTTTTTGTTGCCTTTTTTCTAAATCCTGTATGCATTTCCATTCTAATCTTTGTTTGTATCAGGTTAGGGTACTTTTTAAAATCCCTGTATGGAATACTGCACACGTGCACACACACACCCATAGAAATTCTCTTGCACACTTTCTTAATAGGTACATTTTGTATGTTATTTTTCTAGCATGCTTATGTATGTTTTACAGCTGGTCAAATCTTTCAGCTGTTTTTCCAACTGTTTATGTTTTACAGTGGTGCCCCACATAGCGAGGTTAATCCGTTCCGGATTAACCTTTGTTATGGGGAAACATCGTTAAGTGGAACGGGGAAACCAATTCTGAATGGGCCCAAAACTCACTGTTCTCCGATGTTTCCCCATGTTCCGGTGGCCATCTTGGGTGTCCCGGCAGCCATTTTTGGTGTTCCGGTGGCCATTTTGGGTGCTCCGGCAGCCATTTTGGGTGTCCCAGCGGCCATTTTTTGTGTTCCGGTGGCCATTTTGGGTGTCCTAGTGGCCATTTTTGTGTTCCGGTGGCCATTTTGGGTGTCCCGGCGGCCATTTTTTGTGTTCCAGTGGCCATTTTGGGTGTCTGGTGGCCATTTTAGAACCGCCGAACAGCTGTTCCCCTATCGCAATGCAAGCATGCCCTCGCATTAGCGATGGGGAAATCCGCATCACAATGCAGATTCATCGTTAAACGGTGTACTCATGCGAGGCACCACTGTATTTGGTGCACTCGTTATGCTAGGCACCACTGTATTGATATGCTATTTATATCTAATATGTACATACCACCCTACTTTGCGGAAAGCATTACTCTGGGCAGTTGTAGCTATTTGTTTCTGGGTGTTTTTTACATCTGTAGGTTATTTTTCAGGGATGTACGTTATGTACTGCAGGCCTCACAGATGTGCAGAGTTCAGACGCAAGGTGTGTTTAGTGCCAAATGGATCATTTCAGAGACAGTCTCATAACTGCTGAACTTCTTTTCCGCCCTGGCTTTTTCCATTACTTCTTCCAGGACAACAGATGGGCACATTTTGACGTAATAGCTTTCTGATATATTGTGGATTACATAACATTCTCCAACATATATATCTGGGAAATGCAACAAAATTTTGCAACATGCCATGCAAAATTTGAAGTTCCAGTCATTCCCCTCCCCGACCCCAATTTTCTGTTCACGTCTCAGCAGTGAGTCACCATTGCCTGCACACCGATTATTTTTAGTCTGCCATGGACTGTTGTTGTCAGCTGCTTGAGGGTTTTTTTCTCTCCAATAATTATTTTCCATACTTCTGCAAACCTCTGATGTTCCCCAAAGGACACTGAAACCTCTCTCTTCTATGGGAGTGGTTATAAAACCTGTGGCACTCGGAGAATTTAATTCCCTGTTGGTAACTGTGGCAATGAGTTTGCCAGTGTCTGTACAGTATATTCATATTATACCTGCTTGCTCACTATCACTCTCTAAAATATTTACGGCATCACAAACTTTCCATATTTAATCATTTCTAAAATATTTACGGCATCACAAACTTTTCATATTTAATCATTTACTAAGAGAGCTGATTTGTAGCCAAGTACTAATAAACAAACATCTCAGAGCACTAATCTTTGTTTCCTTTTTCAATTTCCATATCAAATGTCCCAGAGAGATGGTATCCCTGTTTCTCCCCAGAATTCTGAATTGCTATTTCTTTTAAAACAGTTTGTTCATTTTATTTCTTAAAGACACTGAAGTTTAATTTTTCAGCTTGCACTCCTTGTCTTTGGTTTGGCCCAAGGGTACAGTCCCGTTCCATTTAACATTTAATTGTTGTCATCATTGACCTATAGAGCTTGTAGTGTAAATAAAGAAAATCCCAATTTCCCCATGAAAATACTGAGACAAGAGCCGTCCGTTTGTTTATCTTGTCTTTTACATAACAGAGAAATGTGATGAGTCTGTATGCCTGCTTGAAATAAGTGCAGATTAGTAATTTTTAAAAGAAAGAAATAGCATGCAGTAGTTAAAACCCAAGTAAAAACATGGATGCTTATTTAGGCCTTCCCTCCAGTCAATACTTGATTCTCTCTTCTCATTTCTCCCTTATTTATTTTTACTCTATTTTCTTGGTTTCCGCATTTTCATTTGTAGATTTATGTAACTATGTGTTTTTTATTAATTGTTTGTATTATATGCGAATTCGTCGTTAAACTGGGCACTCGTTATACGAGGCACCACTGTACAGTAGTTTGTGATTCTTGCATACACAGGGGAGGTTTTTTTGCCCACACACCTCAGAATGATGCTAAGACAAGCACACAGGTTTAATAAAGGATCAACATTTTATCAATTCTCAGAAAAGTTACTTTTTGGACCACAACTCCAAGAACTCCTAGACACCACGAGACTTGTAATCTAAAAATAGTAACTTTTCAAGGTTCTGCTTTACTGCTGATAAAAGTTAAATAAACAGAAGCAACTGCAACAGTTTTATCTCTACCCAAGAAATGTGGCCTTCCCAAAACTTGACAAGGGAGACAAGAATGCACTTCCAGCTCACTCTCTATTACATGGAAAACCTGACCCTGACTTCTGCTTTTCCTCATCTGCTTACCTTTACTAAGTGTGCCATTAAGAAAGCTGATTGCCCCATTGAACCTAGATGGATAAACCTAGGCATGAGGGTCCAGAGATACCTTTCTCCCCATATTCCTTTGAACCACTAGGGTATGAGAGGTTGGCTGGGGAAGCAACCCTGCTCCATCAGACCATTATCTGTGGCTTGATCTAATAGCCTCCTTATTGAGACTGAAGTTTCTTGCTAGGATTAGAGCACAGAAAACCAAATCAAAGCAGACTCTCCTCTACCACCTCCCAAAAAGTTCTAGGGAGGATTGGCCACTACCCAGCAGGCATTGAAGCAGCTACCCAAGAGCTTTTATTATGAGTAGGGAAGTGGGGAGATGTTTGTTGTGAGTCTCCACATCTTAAATGTCTTGTCTCAGCATCATGGTTTGAGAGCAGTGAGGCAAGAGTTTGAGTGCAAGGGGTTACTCTTGGAAAGAACAGCTACCTTTTGCTTTCATCTCTGGGGGAACAATTACCCAGTCTCAATGGTATCACTAAGAGCGGCAGTTCACATTTCCCCTCATTCTATTTAAGAAGAACCAACTATTTATGTGGCAGACAATGAAGATATGCTCTTGGGGGCCTCATTGGTCAGGGGATTAAAACGTGCCCTTCATCTCTGTTGCACCTCCATTTAGAGAAAGTGAGGGTCAGATTAAGGCTAGGAGACTGAATCATTTTCAGGACTGAAATTTCATGTCCTCAGAACTCCCAGTTTTCAAAAGTGGACAAGCCACCAGCAGGTTTTGTTCAGCTACGTAAGCCAAGATTTCCCAAGAGCTCAGCCTCCAATGTACCGATCACTTTGGGACATCTGGTTCTAGCTGGGACCTCTGTCCTTTCCAGAAAATGTGGTGCTCTACGATTTGCTTAGCATCACAAAGTGAATGTGTGTGGACAGTGAGAGATACAGTTTAAGACTCATTGACTCCTCATTCTCGGCTGGACTCTGTGGACCATAAGAGTGCCATCACTGCACAGTTCTAGTTCTAGCCGTCATCGTCCCTTGAGCAGCACTGGTGTCTGGGTATGTTGCAGTGTAAAGTAGCAAGCAAACAAGAAAAATACTGGAACAATAGCAAGTGGACACTATGAGAAAAGGATTCCAAAAATCATTATAACAAATAATTGCATAGTTTTAGATCTGTTTGATAAGGGAAAGCAGCTCCACCCTTGCACTGAGCAGAGGGTTTCCTGCATTGAGCAGGAGGTTGGACCCAATAGCCTTAGAAGCAGCTTCCGATTCAATTATTCTGTGATTTTGTGATTCTGTGCTTAGTCCTTTCTATCCCCTCAACCTCACTCCAAGCCCTCTTTGAGCTCTGTTCTTTTCCTCATCCTGTCACTTTCTCCTCCTCTGTCCCACATCTAGTTCACAAGTACAGAAGGCAAGGTAGGAATGTTGTGTCTGGCCACTGATTTACTGCACTTATCTATAAAATGCCCTAGTGGGATATAGTGTTTTTTATATATACAATAACTCCTTGTTCTGAGATGCTTACTATTTGAAATTCAGCACAGAGGAACAAGCAGCAGTCATGAACAGGAAAGCAATATGCAGTTGCTTCAGTTATGTATGCTTCAGCTCAGTTATGGTCTCCCAGTCACTGCAGGGGTAGGGACCACAGAATTACGCCAAAAGCTTAAGAGAAACAGTGACCAGTTCTATTTGGACATTCTCGGATGAGTGAAGTCAACACAAGACAAGGGAAGTGCACTAACTGTGCAGTAATGGAAGGACAGTCCTTCCATTACTGCACTTCTTATTCTAAAGGCTTTGGGTGTGAAGAAGAGAATCTGTTGTATTGGAGACCCAGACCCCCAATTCCCCCGCCTTCTGTTTTCTGTGGGGAGCACCCATGGACAACTTTCCTTTTCACACCTACTACTTTTCATGTGAGCAAAGTGCAACAAAGAAGGAGCTGTGGCCAGCGCAATTCTGAATTCTGAACAGAACTGAAGTCTTGAGGTGGAACAATGGCTATTCTTTTTCAAACCCACAGATGGAATAATTCCACCTTTATTTTTTTTAAAAAAGCATTTTACTCAGCCGTATCACTAAAAGTGGAATAGAATGAAGGGAGTGGAAGACAACACACACACACACACACACATACACACACACACACACCTAACCGCCCCTATGCTGGGCATGTATCCCAAACCTAATATCAGAGGAGATGGGCACGGTGTCTCCATTTCTCTCCCACTGGATTTGGCCCAATGCTTTTTCTCAAAGTTGTGGCTGGGAAAGAAGACCAAGCCCATAAGACTTGAAGCCCAATGTCAACTACTTTGCCCACCAACCACAGTATTCAGACTTTATGACAATATCCAAAAGGGAGGGAAGTTGGAGATAATCTTCCAAAGAATGGCTGTGACAGTGTGGTGGGCCATCGTATATTTCCAGTCTTTCTCTGGCCTGCCAAAGAGACCCCACCCATTCTGTGGTCCAGTCTGAACTTGATTGTCCAGTTCTACAAGCACATCCGAGCAAGAGCTTCACTAACTATAGCATTGGGGGTGGGGGTGGAGGAGGGTAGAAAGCAGCTGTGTCACCATGGCAAAAAAAAAAAAAAAAAAAGGTTGCCCAACTTGTTTCTGCACACCTGTAGGGTTGCAAAGCAGGACTTGGGTAAGACAGGGCCCTCATTTAAGTTAAAAAAAATAGTATAGCAAGGAGCAAGCTTTCCCTCTGCTATGCTATTTCCTGCTTGTAAGATAGAACTGTGAGGATATGGGTTTTACAATACAAATTTGTTCTACAGCCAAAGGCCCAATAAGGATATGGGTTTTGTAGTACTTGTTTCCCAGGACTTGCAGGTGTTTCATCTTAGCCAGAGGCCTAGCTGTTGTTTTAGAAGAAGAGCCCAGGCCACATCTCAAGACTGATAAACATAACATTCCTTGCTAATGGCCGACCAGCCTGGGAACGAAAGATGGGAACTGTAGAAATGTAAAGGTTGGGCATGGACAGGTGAACAAAGGACTCTATGCTGATTGGATACTACCACGAAGCAGAGACTTTGATTTACGAATAAATTATAGAAAGGGGGATTAAGTAGGTATGTGTACGTGTGTGTGTGCAAGTTGGAGGAGAGAAGATGGTCAACAGGCTTAGAGCCTTTGTCCATTGATTGGGAGACTTGAGCCATGGTTACTTAGAATAGCCTAGTCATTTAGTAGTAAAACTATTAGCTAGCTCATCATTTTATTGTTTTATGGGAAAGTCTTAAAGAAGCTTACTTAATACTTAGATGCTTGGCATTTAACCAGTACAATTGTATATTTTTGTATTTCTTTTGTTTTATAACTTTTTACTCTTTTTGAAGAAATATTTTATATTTTACCCAAGTGTGATTCTTGGGGACAAGGGTGAGAGTGCCCAAAGAAAGTGCCTTGGCCACAAGGGCTATGTTTGCTATTTTTCTTTGTGGTCTCTGTGAATGCACACTAATGGGTTAATCTGTGCTTCCGCAGAGGTTTCCGGAATCTTCTAGAGTTTAACACTCGTTCACCAGGACCGCCCCCAGTACATGTGGTCCACCTGTCCTGGCTAGTGCCTCAGTTCCTTTTTGCCGCTGCTGAGGTTTCTTCTCTCAGATGAGCTGGGTTCACCTCCTGCATTGAAAAAGAAATTTTCTGATTAGAGATCTTCGCATAGTGAGAATCTTTGTTATTCCTTCCTTCTGCTGCCCCCCCTCTTTTAATCCCCTTTCTTTATTTTGTTGTTTGTTTATGACCTCCTCTGGACCATTTAAACCAGGGGTCAGGGAACTTTTTTACCTTTTACCCCCCAAAAAATGTATATACGCTGACATTACCCCCTTGATTTGAAAGGAAGGAAATCATACATTATTTGAATTCGAAATCTTATTGAATCTATTCAAAATTACTTTGAAAGCTTCAACTTGCTTGAAAACTTCAGGTTTTGGAGAAATGATGTTGCTTCATCTTGGATATGGGAACATCAATATTGTGGCTCTGCTCATCCTCATTACCCCCAGGTTTTTCATTTTTACCCCATTTGGGGTAATTTACCCCTGTTCCCTGACCACTGATTTAAACGGTGCACTTTGTGCCCCAATAAAATTCCATTCACCGACAGTCACGATTCCTGCCTTTTCAGCTTGGGCAAAGCTCACCAATCGGCTTCTTGCCCTTTTTGTAAAAAGTTTACGAAAGAGGCACTTAAGTTAAGGGAGCAACGCCTATGGTCTTATTTGTGGGAACGTTCCCTTCGTCTCATATCAACTATGGAACATGCACCACCTTCTCAGGCTCAATCGGTTTCCCCAGGAGCCTCAGTTGCATCTTGGGCGAAAGTGAAATCTAAGTCTAGGACCATCACTAAGTCTACCACAGGTGTTTTGACACCGAAGTCCACACCGGTACTGAAGTCTCCTCCAGTACCGGACAAACAGTCCAAACCAAAGAAGACTAAGAAATTGTCCTCTGATTCTCAATCCAAACATCAGAAGGACAAGACAACCCCTTCCATTCCTCTACAAGAGCAGCAAACTATTTTCCTCGATTCCATATCTGTGGAAGTGGTACAATCCATGTTTAACTTCCATTTTGTTATTGCTCTATAAGTTTATCCTCCTTCATTCTCTACTCCACCTTTCTTCTGATTTTAGATGAAGAGTTCTAATTCCAGAATTCATGCATGCACATTTCATAGGTTTTCTGCTTGGCTTGTTTTGTATTCTTTTTCCCTACCTATTTTGCCATTGTACACAAACCATTTGTATGCATTGATGAAAGACCACTGAACTGAGTTTCCTATTGTGCTGTGTGTGTGTTTTTTTTTTTTTAAAAAACAAGTGTTTATAAGTACCTAGGCACTCTGGTAGCTTCTTTTTGTTGTTGTTTAAAAAAATCTCAACGTGTTGAATGTTTGTGCAATTACATGCGGCAGTGGGCTGTACAAAATATTGATTCCAAAACTGACACATCAGTGAGGTTCTGCAAACAACTCCAGACGATTCAAAAATCAGACTCAGAAAATACATTTAGACCTGGAGAGTTTTAGCTGCAGTCCTACAGCCAGTCAGGCCTTGTCCTTTCCTTCAGTCTGTCTGACAGAGGATTGCAGGACCACAGCCGATTGGTGATACAGCAGGACAGGTGGGGATGTAATACGGTTTTGTTCAGGTTTTCTTTTTCCCTCTCCCCAAAACAGTTTGAATGTTTCATGGACTAGAAGCAGAGATATTTGAGGAAATTGATGGTAGATCTGTACTGGTAGAAGACAAGATAGCTCACATGGGTAGGGACCTAAGTCTGAAATGTTAAGAATTTAGTGGTTAAAACCGTATTTGTTTGACAGCCACACAGCTTCACATTTCTTTGAAATAAGTAAAATTTAGACACATCAGCACATGAAATTTTAATACCCTGTTGTTCAGCAAATATTATAGCTGTTTTCCCTTTCGTTTTCTTATGTCAACTCCATAGCCGGGGGGCTAAAAACTTGCTAGCAGGAATTATCTCACAATAACTTATCCATTGCTTTTTAACTTGGGGTTCCAAAACCAAGTCACAAATATATTCACATAAGCTGTATATATTTTCTGTCTCATTGTGTTATTAGGAGCATCCTGTTGTATTAACCAAATTCATTGAGGGAGCTCGAGAGGTGGAAATGGATGCTGTCGCAAAGAATGGGAAGGTACAGATTTCTTCCTTAACACCAGAGCCTTGCTTTTATTTTCTGGGATTTATTGAAGGAATCTTTAAAAATGCTTCCCTTTAAGCTCCAAAAAGAATTGGTTTGCCACTGAACGAAACTACGATGGTCTTAAAACAGATTTTATGGAGAAGCCAAAGCTGGGGAGATCTTGTTTTCAGTATAGCCTTTAAAACAATAAAAAAAGATACTATGTATCATCACTGTTTTCTTATTTCAGTTCCCAACTTTACTTTTATCCTTCTGGGTTAGTCAAGAGAGGACAGTCCACTTACCTGGAATACCCAGTATGGCGTAGTGGACAGAGTGACACAGTAGAACACAGGAGGCCGAATCCCCGCTCAGCCCTGAAGACACAGTCGGGGTTTGGAACTAGTAAAACTAGTTCTTAAATATCTCCCTTACCTAGAAAGCCCTCTTAGGGTTATTAAATCAATTCTGACTTTGCCGCACATGAGAACAACATTTATCTAGCATTGTTTGTGATTTATTTAGGAAGTTGCCCTTTAATGTCTGTTCTTCATCTTATGCTTGCATGACCAAGTGGCATTCGCTCAAAGGCAGTACATTTCTCCCAAGAGCGTCATTATAATCCACTCTGGTGTTGCTCGAACAACAACATTTGAAACTGGTCATGAAAAGTTTAGCAAATTCAAGTAGTACATGGATTTTTTTCATAGATGTTTTCGAAGGTTTGCTCCAGATGTTTTTGGACTGCTTCTCCCATCAGTTCTAGATACCAGAGCCAATGGTGTCAGATCATGGATGTTGACATCCAGCAACACCTGGAAGGTCCCGTATTCCCCATCCCTGATGAAGATGTACGGTAGCAGGGTAGTTGGACAAACTGTAATGTCCTCCAGGACAGACAGGATAGTGCAGGATACTTATGTATGACTGCCATTGATCATAGAATGAGAGAAATAACTGAATTCTGTAGTACACCCTTCTGGCATGCTTCTTTATCATTTCAAGGTGAATTAATTACTCCTAGAAGCCATCAGTTCTCACCATGTAGTCTTAGACTTACCAGTGTGTGACAGGCAGGATACACTAGAAGTAAATATAGTACCTATATGCTCATATAGCATTTTTGGTGTTTGATGTACTTTGCATATAGTGTCTATCCTTCCAATAATCTAGTAAGGTAAGTCAGTATCACCATATTGTTGATGTAAAAGTGACTAAGTAAGAGTGGCCCTTCTAAATACACTTCATGAACTCATGATAGAGGTTGCCTTAAGAAAAATTAAAATACATTTACTGTACAGTGAAATCCTATTTGTTTCTGTTCAGAAGTAAGTCCCTTTGAGTTCAGTGGGATTTACTTCTGGGTTAAGTGTGTATAGGATTGCAGCCTTACTAATCTAAACTGGAAGAGGAATTGGGGAATCATGTGGTTAGCAAATAACCTGAAGCATAGGGTTGAAAAAATGCACCAATTATTTATCTACAGGGAACCAGTCAAGTAAGGTAGTATGTAGACTGCTGGTGTGCTACTGGATGGCAGGCAACTCCCTCTCTACTGTTTGCTTAATTAAAACTTGATATCAACGATTTCAGTGGTGCTGTAAGTGGACACCTTTTTTTGGCTGGCTTTTTGAACAGGTTATCTGTCATGCTGTTTCTGAGCATGTGGAGGATGCAGGCGTTCACTCTGGAGATGCTACCTTGATGTTCCCTGCACAGACAATTAGCCAAGGAGCCTTGGAGAAGGTCAGCGGTTTGTTAAACAGGATGGAGGGAAGGGCAGCACAAGATTCAAAAGCATCATTGATTTGGGACATTTTAACCCACTAAAGACGAGTGAGTGAGCTACAGGGGTGAATGTGGATTTTATAAGGTTTGCTTGAGAGACAGAAAAGTGTGTGGAAGGTGTTGTAGAAATTCTATGCCAAGCTGCTGAAGGGATTTGGTATGTATTTAGAGAAAAAAATGAAGTAAAATAAGTGCATTTTTCCACATCAGGACTGTCTTGAATCTAAGGAGAGATACTATTTCTTGATTTATATTTCTTTATACAGGTAAGGCTAATTTATAGAGGTGCTAGCCATGTAGGTCACCTCACTGGTCAGCTTCCTGGTTTACTATGGAGTTCTGGGGGAAAGGCAGATGGTGTGAAACATGTGCGGGTGATACAAGTCTTTCAGCAAAGAGAATTGAACACAGCAACTCATCCTCAGGCCAACTTTGTGGCAGAGATGGTTGCAAAGAGGCACCACTTCTGCTCCATCACTGCACCCACAGAAAGTCAGCAGCAGGTTCTTCTGGATAGTATGAGGTGCACTTGACCAAGGCTCTGTAGCTAAAACGGTACTAAAAGTTAGAGATATGAAGAATATTTGAAAAAAAATCTCACTCTTGGCAATTTTAGAAGTCTTCCGAGATTTCTTGCTTAGACTTCTGCTGAGACCAACCAGATTTCTGGAAATATAACCCTAGTTTTGTTTTTCCTATTAACTGACTGATTGGGTTCCCCCCCCCTTTTCTTTTTTTATTTTTCCACTTGTTATTTGATGCAAAGGACTTGTCAAATTTGGAACAGTTGAATTCCCTTTCCTAGGAATCTTGTGCAGGAAAGAGTCGATTTTGTGCAGGGACTGCAATAATTCTGGACACATTGGGGGGGGGGATGGCCATGTAACAGCCAAGAAGTCCTGCAAAGTGTGTGTGGATTATTGTTGTTGCATTTTTAAAACTCACACAAATTTATTTTTAAAAAATCAAATCAAATCCCATGGAAAGAAATGGCAAGGAGAAAATGTGTTTCTCTGTCCACATGAAGATACTTACTTTAAAAAGATGGCTTTCCTGGCCAGTAATACCTTGGTTATATAATGTCCTCTGTAAATAGTTTCCTCTGGCACTAACAGTGCTATTATTTAAGTGTCAGGAAACCTAGACATTTTAATAGATTTTTAAAAAAATTTTAACTGAGCAAGTTTTAGTGCTTCAGTTTTACAGTCACCACTGGCATGTGTGGGATTTTAAAAGTTTAATCTCTTTGTTTTCATGGTATCTGTGTTGTTTATCTGACTTCCCTATGTAGTGCTCTAAAATCTAATATAGTGAAAAGTGATATAAAATGTTTCAAATCTACATTTTGGGTAGTAAAAAATCTTAAAACTTATAATGCAGAAAGGTTTAATTTGGGCTTTCAGTGGTAACTCAATGTTTTTTTGTCTTTTCCATGTATATGACTTGTTGGGCTATAATAATTTAATTTGGAAAAAAAAATCTGTTCTCACAGGTGAAAATTGCAACCAAAAAAATTGCAGATGCTTTTGCTATCTCTGGACCATTCAATGTTCAGTTTCTTGTCAGAGGAAATGATGTCTTGGTGAGACTTTTATGTATATATATATGCATATTGAAAATGGTTAATCATAATAAATTGGGGTGGGGGGTTTCTTACAAATTGTCTTTTTCTTCATGCAGTCCTGGCAAAGAAACAATCAAAACACTTTCTGCCAGTGGCTACATGGTGTGAGCAGATCTTGGCCCATACTGTCTGCCTTGTTTGCTGACATGTGGGTCTGTGTACCATTGATATTCTTTGCCATTCTCTACTTTATAAGGCACTCTGTGATACAATTTTGAGAAACAAACCCTGTCTGCCCACACAAAGCAGTAATTTGACAATACCGCAAGCTCTGTAGAATTGCCGTCTGTCAGCAACTGTGTTAGTTCAGTACTGGGCTTAAATCAGATCAGCGCTAAATAAGATTTGTAAGAATGTTGTATGTGACTTATCCTACTAACACAGCACAGGTTTGATTCTACAGTACAAGTCCTGATCGTTTGCTGTCTTAGGTTATTATGGGTAGCTACCATGTTTCCCCGAAAATAATACAGGGTTTTATATTAATTTTTGCTCCAAAAACCGAATTCGGGCTTATTTTCAAGGGATGTTTTATTTTACAGTCACATCTTCTTCTGGTTGCTGCAAAATGCTGCACAATGGTGGAAGGCAGGGTTTCACCTAACTGGGGCTTATTTTTGAGGTAGGGCTTATATTACGAGCATTCTGGAAAAAAGTCATACTAGGGCTTATTTTCAGGTTAGGTCTTATTTTTGGGGAAACAGGGTAGAAAGCAAAAGGGAAGGCAAAGGGAGCAAATAAAACCTAAGAGGAAGATGTGCCTCAAAGGTGTGCCTAATAGACTCACAGAAGTGTTTAGCGTCCAGCATTCCTTGTGCCTCTTCCTGTTAGCTCTTCTCAGGTCTAAATAACACATGTTCACATTGCATGAATGCTGGATTGGAGCTAGCGAGAAGAACATCTCTAGAACTGCAAGGAACATGTGTGTAAGATGGAGAGAGTAACTTTCCCCCTTTGGATATAATCCTAGTGAATGTGTGAAGGATCACTGCAACCCCTTCCATGATGACATGGCTGCTGGAACTGCAATAGGGATGTTGAATGCAGGTTGTTAAGTATCTCTGGAGATGGGTGGCAAAGAGTCTTTCTCCTTCTATATCCCCATAGTCCCTGCCAGCAGTTGCTGGCTTTAGAGCCCCATTCAGCTGCCCTGTACATTTTTAAACTGCATGTATCTGTCGATGACTAGTCTTATCTACATCATAACTGATATGACTCCCAGTCCCAGTTATTGCTCTTTTTTCTGAGATCCATCCTCTTTTTCTGTTCCTCCTGGACTTGGTTGCTGCCTCTGTGGATGGGCCAAAGTCCATAAAATTAAAGTACTGCCTCTGACAACCTTGCCAATCACAATGATGGGATCATGCTTCTGCCTCTTGTTTGTTTAATGCAACATTGTGTTGATTATTGTTAAGCCTATGCCTCGTGTTTTCCAAGAACTTACTGTTTTGGATGACGACTCCCAGAATCCACAGCCAGCTCAGTAGTCCAGGGGTGGGAGAGGTGCCTGGAAGTTACAGTAGTAAAAAAAAGTACCTTTGCAAAGCTGTTTCTTCCATATGTTTAAATGTGTGCCCATGTTCAAAAACAAACAATTTTCTGTGTACACAGTAAATACCTTTAAAGGAGTATAATCTTAGAATGCGCTAATAATCTGCAGGGACTTTCTTCAGATGTATGTATCAACTCTGGATACATATATTTAGGCATAAGGATAGCCTGAGACCAGGGATAAGTTCTAGAAAAATCTAAAATCATTCGGTGTGTCAGTGGTTAGCACTATAAGGAAGACATTTCTTCCTTCACAGTCAATGTCTGGGATTTCATCATGCCTTCCTCACTTCCTTTTTAAGGTGATCGAATGCAACCTACGAGCCTCACGGTCTTTTCCGTTTGTGTCCAAGTCTCTTGGTCTGGATTTCATTGATGTGGCTACTAAAGTGATGACTGGGGAGCAAATCCATGAATCTACTCTCCCTACACTGGCAAAACCCATGGTTCCTTCAGACTATGTGGGCATTAAGGTATGTGTGAAGAGGCTTTACAGAGGAATTAACTGGCGGTAGCTCCTAGGGCTAATAATACAGGATACCCTCTTTCAAATCATTCACTGAATAGAAAGAGAAATGTACCTGCATTACCAAGAGAAAGGAATTATACACCTTCCCTATCTCTGATTAGAATGCAATGTGAAAAAATTAGAGAAATATTCGGAAAAATATTAGAAAAAATATTAATAAAATATTAGCAAAGGTCTCCTGTATATTGCCAGAGTTAACTATATATTGGGCAATGAATTGGATTAACTAAGAGTATATTGCCTTAGACACCCAGGATATATAAGATCCTTTTAGCTGCTAGTGAGCCATTGTACATGTCTGTCTGTCTGTCTGTCTGTCTGTCTAATCTCTCTCTCTCTCTCTCTCTCTCTCTCTCTCTCTATCTATCTATCTATCTATCTATCTATCTATCTATCTATGTACCATGGCTCACTAGCAGCTAAAAGGATCTTGCAATTTTAGCTGCTTGTTGCTGACTGCAAACACAAGGGGGTAAATAATGAAGTCTGTGGCAGGCTGCGGTTTTGTTTGAAGAGGTTCAAGCCTACTGTGTGTTATGTGCCATCCAGTGGATTACAATTTAAGGCAACTTTATCAGGTTTCCCAAGGTATGTGAGATGTTTACCATTTCTGCAAATATATCCAATAAGTTTTCATGGCCAGGTGGGGATTTCAGCTCAGTTCTGCTGATTCTAGTCTTACACTCTATCCACTAAAACCGCACTGGCTAGCGCAGTAGGTAAATTTTAAAGAAAAGATAAGTCCTGTAAATGTGCATGCTCATATATAGAAACTATAGTGTTTGTTTTGTGTGCAAAGCAGGTTATGATCCACCAGCTGCATCCAATGTACTCACTCAGTAGTTTAGAAAATGACGATTCTGCTTTTTTATAATGAAAAATCATCATATCAGCTATGATTTTCAAAGGCTGAGCCCCTGAGAACAGAACCAATTTCTCTTTGGTGATTCTGCATTGCAAAGGAACTGTTACGAATATCTCAGTGGTTTGCTGTAGTCATTTGTATGGAAATCAGAAACACAGAGTTTATCTGTTTAGAAGTCAACAGGATGCTTTTAAATGCCTATAACAATAATGGCTATTAAAATGCCAAAATAATTAAAAGACTTTGTGGGATTTAAAGAACCTTTTGTATAGTAGGCATGTAATTATGAACTTTATTTTATTTCTCTTCTAGTGCGTAGGTTTTTCTGAGACCAAGAGGTGTTTAGCCCACGTTTAGTTTGCTGCAAGGATGGCATAGACCACTCCTAATGACAGTGATCAGACAATGTCGTAGAGGGATTTAGCCAACCCACCCTCCCTGCACCTTTCTGGCCCCTAACAGGGGCATCTACTTTTTTGCTGCTGCCCCCCCCCCCCCCAAATGTGTGCCTCATAGCCAAGCTAGGCAAAAACAGGAGTGGAACCTCTTTCGGTCTCTTACCGTAGCTGCTGTGGAAGGGATGATTTATCAAAATTACTTTTCTGAGACCAAGAGGTGTTTAGCCCACATTTAGTTTGCTGCAAGGATGGCATAGACGACTCCTAATGACAGTGATCAGACAATGTCATAGAGGGATTTAGCCAACCCGCCCTCCCTGCACCTTTCTGGCCCCTAACAGGGGCATCTACTTTTTTTTGCTGCTGATGTAAATTGCTCCATTTTGATCTGTTTCCAGCACGTGTGATCACTGGAAATGAACCAAAGCAAGCCTTCCTCTTTTAATTTGCCAGTATTGTGAACAGACTCACTTCAAGATATTGGTAAATTAAACATTTCTTCAGCTCCATGAATGGGCTGAGGAAATGAAACATATATATACAGTATGTAAATATTAAAGTATATTGTAAATGGGAGCATTGAATATGCACAAATTTGTTATTCTTTTAAAATACAGATTTATTTGGCTAGTGATCAGGGGTTTTTTTTAGTGTATTTACTATATACTGTGAAATGAACCAAAGCAAGCCTTCCTCTTTTAATTTGCCAGTATTGTGAACAGACTCACTTCAAGATATTGGTAAATTAAACATTTCTTCAGCTCCATGAATGGGCTGAGGAAATGAAACATATATATACAGTATGTAAATATTAAAGTATATTGTAAATGGGAGCATTGAATATGCACTGCATCACAGCATTAAGTATGTGTGCTACAAGTTAGTTTATTTTGTTTAAATTTGTTATTCTTTTAAAATGCAGATTTATTTGGCTAGTGATCAGGGTTTTTTTTTAGTGTATTTACTATATACTGCAGCTTTGTACTGTTTGACTATAATGATGACTTGATGTGTTGGGAACTGCCTAGAGAGTGGAAATAATAAACAAACAAGAAAGCATTAGGACTGATCTGAAACTAAGACTTGGACATTTCTTACATATCTTATAGTAATGGTATTTTTCAGATATTAATTCTTCCCTGGGGTTTCATGGCCCATGAAATTTAATACCTCTACCATCCCACATTATTGATAAATGTTTCAGCCTTGTAAGTCTATAGTTTGCACGCATGGACATGCACGTACACACACACACACACACACACACACACAGAGAGAGAGAGAGAGAGAGAGAGAGAGAGAGAGAGAGAGAGATAAACATATTCCTTAGGAGGATACAAGCTATGTAATTTTGGGCCTAGAACAAACATGGTTAATTAAGCTGCAGATTCATAGAGCACTTCTTTGTCATCTTTTATTCCAACGATTCTCTTGGGGGTGGGGAGGTCTTACATAGAGTTTCTTCCAGAGATGTTTCTGAGGATGTGGATTGAGGTCCCTGAAAGCTCACACAAACGGGTTAGTCTTTCGGGTGCTGCAGGTTTTTTTTTGTCTTTATTTTTGCTATACAAGTGGATTAATACTCTATTGACCAAATTAACCCTCCCTTTTTTGTTTTTTTTTGTTTTTGTTCCAGGCGCCAATGTTTTCCTGGCCTCGCCTGAGAGATGTGGACCCTGTTCTCCGATGTGAAATGGCATCCACTGGGGAGGTACTCGTTTCTTTAGGATGTTTTCACACAGCTTCCATCCAATTCTGTCTCCAATTTCAGATAGCAAGCATCTTCTGCTGGCCTCATTTCTTCAAGCTTCTGACAACAGAGCAGCTTACTTTTTCTCCTAGTGTCTTGTATCCATAAGTGTATAAGAAGGTTCTAATTGCAGCATAGATTGTCTTTAAAAGACTCCACATTTCTCATGAAGGGAACCAAACTCGTTATACTGAAGAATGTTCCTCGTCTGACCACTGGATGTCCCTCTTCTTTTGTTTCTGCGTCCTGTCCACTGTCAGTGGCCATTCTGGAAACAGAGGCTACGTGTTTGTTTCTTTCCTCATAGAGAACTGACAGTTGACAGACAGTATTGTTCATAAAATTCCTAGTTGACTTCTGACATACAATTATATAGAGCCTTCAAAATCTCTCAGTGCATCATCACACAGGCAAAATCTGGTTTTGAACATGAACATTTGGTCTTCATGTCTGAAATCCTTTTGCACAGTTACAGAAATGGTGTAATTTTGGAAGCAAATTGCCGTAAGTTAAGATATCTCTGTAGACATTATCTGTCATATCCTGAGTCACATGACTTGGTGTGCAACAGATGATGCCTACAGAAATTTCTTCATTTACCACAATCTGTGTTTAAAAGTTATACCATCTGTGTAGTTGCACAACAGGATTTCAGCCATTGAGTGTAGAACTTACATTGGTTTAAATTTAACATATATCTGGGGCAATATTTTAATGCTTGCTTGGTTTGCTTCTTGATTTGTAATGCAGTATTCTACATGGGCATATTTTGGTCTCTGGGTAGATTTCAGATTTTTACTCCGGTGAACATGTAATATTGTAAACAGGGATCCGGTATGTGTTTATCATAGGTCCAATTTCTATTTGGATTTTCTTCTGCAGTGCCAGTTGTACATTGCTTGAGCCAAGCTTCTCTTCGGAAGGCAGCAGTAACTCCATATTTTCAGGTCACCCAGCAGTTTGACATCCATGGTGATAACATGATCATCCCATTTTTGCACAGAGTTTTCCCACATCCTCCATAGATTTGAATCTGCTTTACTTTATGTGAGAGGCTGAAAGTGCACTGTCATATTCAGTCCATCCTGAAGGAGAAGAGCAATGTCTGCATGTGGAAATGTATACACACTACCTGCACAGTGATGTTAGGAATCATGAAGTACTTGGACATGCATCGAAATTTGTGCTCATATACGCATCTCATTGGAAGCCATTGAGTAATGACACCACGTCAACATCTGGGCATCCATTCCATTCACACCCATGGTTTCCAAAATCAAGGATATCAGGCAGGTTTGGCATATCCTGGACCCCACCAGTGGTAACAATTATAGCATTCTTTTTGATTCCAGTGTGGAACACGGTTACAAAATCAGGGGTAAAATGTACAGATATTATGCATCTTTCTCTGTGTGTTTGGACAGAGACGTACAAGTGTAAAAGAAACTTGTAATGTCTCTGTCCAAACACACAGAGAAATGGAAAACTGTGGGGTACAGTTTTCCATTTCTCCCACACCTATTCTTCATGGCATCCATGAACTAGGGCTAGCCCCTTTTGAGACCCTTAGGGAATTTAGTGTTATCAGCTAAAGCTATAAAGGACTAGTGGAATATTATAAATAAAGGGGAGTATTTGTGAAAGGAAATGAAAGGTCTCCATATGGACTACCGAAATGCAGGAGCACCATAGACTAATCAAGCAAGGGCTCTTGAACCTTGTGCCTCTCTGATTCAGTAAGACTTAGCCTCCAACTATGTGCAAAGGGATGCAAGATAAATATAACTAACATCACTGAGTAACTGTATTCAACTTTTGAGTATAAAGTCTTCTTATTAAAGAGGCATTACATTAGTATTTTTCCGTATATGTGCATGTGTGCATGCACAGACATTCATGACTGTGCTAATGTCCCTTTCTTTCAAGGATTTTTAAAAAAATTCTATTCTGCTTCTCAGATTGTAGCCAAATTCACGACTGCAGCAAGTTGTGCTTTCAGGCTAGTTAATGGAGAGAAAAGGGCTGATTGTCCTTCTAACTTTCCAAAGGGACTTGGTTTCATGAGGGGGAGAAAAGAAAAGAAAAGAAAAGTGGTTTAGCCAAGGGGATGAGGATTAGTTTTCTGAATGTTAGATAGAGGAATGAATATTTTAGTCATAAAGGAGAGATTATTAACTTTTATGAGTTAGACAGATCCATATTCACAATTGCCATAAAACAGGAGAGTTGTGAAGGTCTTTGTGAAGAGAGGATAATAACTCTCTCCTGGTAAAACAGTCACTTATTCTACAAATGTGTTTTAAGTGCACACAGAACTTATTGTGGGCATGAATATCCTCACACTGTATAGGGAAGGCGATTTAAATATGAATTTTCTTTGGCTGATGTGATTGCCAGTCACAGTGTCTTGTATTTTGGGGGGTGGAGGGGTGTGGGGGTGTTGATTTGTTGTGGGGCAGTCTCCTTGGTGCATTGCAGGACTGCCACTTCAGCACCAACATTGTGAGGACAGCAGCTGTCATCACAATGGATCAGGCTAGCTTATGGAGTCCAAGGCAGGCCACAGGGGAGAAAGAGCAACGGCCTGCAACAGCTCACTGTGGTGTTCCTGCTTGAGGCGAATGCTTTACTCTCTCTAATGGCAGTTTGACCCTAGAAATGGAGTTTGCCTTGTTGGAGGGAGGGAGGGAGGTAGGGAGTGTGTGGAAAGAGAGCGAATATATTCACAGAAAGGAGAAGTTGAAAAAAGCATTGTGATCTTGACGCTGGCACCACTGTTGCTAAACATTTCCTAAAAGATGCACTTAAAAAACAATAATTTCAGGGCACTGATGGTGAGTCTGAGCTTGTTCCTTCTTGTGGATTTGCTTCTTTGCCTCCATATGACTGGTTCAATTCGCATAATTTGCAAAGAGAACACTTGTTAGAAAGAATACACATGACCTTGCTGGCTTCTCTTGCAAATGAGCCCAGCCTATAAATGTTAGCTCAGGCAGTCTCACTGCTTGAGGAAAGAAAAACATGAAACAGTACTTTTTGGACAGTTGATGAGGAAAGGCAGCAAGTTTTTTTGTAAAATGCTTATACTTTATTATACTGAGAAAGCTTCTGACAATGCAGTCTTGGATGTTTCCACTGAGACGCAAGGACCATTCAGTTCCATGGGGCTTGCTTTCACAATTTTGATTTCAGGATTGGCCCTTATACTCATTGAATGCATCTTCACCTTTAATAACTTTCTTGTAAGAAGATATACTGGCAGATCATGCTGCTCATTTCACTGCAGGTTCTGATCGAGCTGGCCCTACCTGTTGAACATAGGGGGAGGGCAGTAATGCAGTTAACAGAAGGCACAGTTGACCTTGCTCCCCCACCTTCCACTGTGACTTTTTAATTGTTCTGGTCTTTGTATCGTGAACCTAGTTCTTGACATTAGTGTGGTGTTATCTTAGACTGATGTGCTAAGCTGGATATGAAACACTATCTAGATTGTATTTAGGGATGGGAAAACCTGTCAGTTACACTTTCTCCCACATTCAGAATTTTTTTAATTTCATATTCTTTTCATCCTAAATATGCAATTTGCAAATGTTTGTAAATTCATCAAAAATGATCTGAGATGCAAATCTCCCCAATTTCCTTCAGTTAAATAGAATGGGTAAAGCTGTTCTCAACATGGGGAGGTCCATGCTGTACCTGCCTGCCATGCAGGTGTTAAATATGGGGGGGGGGGCTTTCAGAAAGAAGAAATGCAGTAACATGGTTGAATATGTAAGGATTCAAAGCCATATTTTCAAGAGTGAGGGACTCGAAGCCCTGAGCCAAATGGACAAACCTGTCACTTGTAGTTTCTATCACATTAAATTGTTTTTCCCCCCCTCATGTTCTTTCTTATTCTAAATATGAAGACTTTTGGCAGATTCTTCTTTTTTTAAAAAAAAATGAACAGAAATGAAATTCCTCCCATCCTTAATCTTTTAAGTTGATTTTCAGATTCTCCTTTCTGTGTCTTGCATTGAGATGTTTCTGCTTAAATACCCCGAATGACCCCTTAGATCTTTAGAAAATGCCTAGACACCCATGCTAAGCTAAGCACAACTGTGCATTCCCACAGCAAGCTGGAAGCACTCATTTATAGGCCCAGAGGAGCATTTGAAACTCGTTCTGTTATTTAAGCATTAAGTATTATGAACATTCTGTAAAACACATGCATACTGTGTGAACCAGAGGCTGTGTTTGGCATCCTCATATTTCATAGCAGGATCCATTTATGCTGCTCTGTGGTGTGCTATTTGAGAATAAAACATTGCTTATTCCTTCATTATTGCTCAATTAAAATATAAGATTTGTTTATGCTGATCTGCCATGTCTCTGGTGGTCCCAGATAAGAGACACAGAGAGACAGAAAAACTTGGATTCCTCATAGAGGAACACATTTTTTGCTTTTCTTCAAATATGTACTTATTTTTTATTTTGCTTCAGGTTCCTTCTTTGAGTAGTACTCATCTTTTTACTCTGTTATTTGCTCCTTTCTTCTGTTTTGTTTGCTCTCCAGGTGGCCTGCTTTGGTGAAAATGTCCATTCTGCCTTCCTGAAGGCAATGCTATCGGCAGGATTTAAGCTACCACAGAAGGGAATTCTGCTTGGAATCCAGGTGAGCTACAGCAGCTTTGATAGAGGATCAACAAGATATCAGGCAGGATGGTATCATGGATGGACAGTTCAGGCCACATCCTGGTTTATGTTAGCCTTGCATGTATTCATAAATCTGTTTCATCCTGCTTCTGATTAATGAATGGAATTTTTGTTTGAAATGACAGAAACATTTATATATTTCTAAAATATATATTTGACAGGCCATGCATTTTTGTGCCTCAAATACTATATACATTTTATCCTAAAAGATGCATTATTATCATTGTTTTGGTACTGTTTTTATTTTTTGGGGGGGGGGTTGCTTTAGAATTCTATTTCAAAATTCTGAGAAGGGCCAAATCTGCATATTTATGCAGGAATTGTAGATCAGGTTGGCTTTGTTGAAAACATGGGTTGAGTGAAGCCTATATGGTAGATCCCCCAAATGGCTCTTACCAGAAAGAGGCCCCATAACTCTGTGAGGAGAGCATATGCTGGCAAGGTTTCAGGCCCTGGGTTCCTTCCATAGTGGTATTCTTTGTCAAGGAAACTGGAAGGCAATATATCTGAGCAATTTCTCACATCTGAAAGAGATGCCACCTATCAGAATAGGCTACTAGTCAGACGTTTGACAGGGTCCAAGATTGTATGTTTATTTTCACCCAAATTTGTGGTGTATTGAAACAGAATTTTTTTTCTGGGAAGAAAGACAAATCTAAGCCTTCTTAGCTTTAGCACATTGGAGTGAGGAGTCCTGGAATACATGACAGATTCCCAAAGATCATACCTCTAGTCATGAGAAACAGTACCAACCCTCTTGACAATGCTAATGGCATTTCTATCTATTCTGAAGAAATCCTTGATGTGAATAGGACAGAAGAATATGCATTTTTGGACAGTAAAACTAGTCCCCAATAGATGTCAGGAGAATGGGCCCTCCCCCCTTTTCCTGTACTGCTTACTCACTGCCTGGGGTAATCACAAGCTGCAGGAGATACAGAAATGTGCTCTGTTCATAAATCTCCTCAAGGCCTGTGTGTCTGTTTCCCAAATGATCAGTCACTACATCTGAGATTGGAAAATGCTAGGGGTCTCATAAAAACAATTGATGGCCTTTTATAATCCCCCTGCTGTGCTTGTAATAAGCTTACACCCTGCATAAAGTCAATAAGAAAATAATTAAAAACAATACCAACTTCCCCGCTTGTGAGTGATTATTACAGATACTGAGACAGGATGTGGGAATTGGGCCCACAAGTTTCAGCAACAGGAAGCAGACTTCAGTGAAGTGCACAAACAGACACACAGAGAAGGGGCAAGGTGTCCTCTCAAGGATGCCTAGAAGAAAATGTGTACCATTATTACAACATGGAAATCAATCAATTACATTGCTGCCCATTGATTTGTTCCCTTTGAGAAGCAATGCTCTGCAGTGACTAACGGGCGAGGCTGAAATCCCCATGCATCCATGAAGATCCTCTGGTGGTCTCTGGCTACTCGTGGGGAATGTCTACACTACAGATTTAAACAGGTTTAAATGTCATTTTCTCCCCACATTGAAGAAGAAATTGAACATGTAATCCTTCAGATGTTGACTCCAGATGCTATCAGCCTCAGCCAGCAAGGCTGATGATCAGAGCTGATGGGAACTGGAGCCCAACAGCCTCTGGAGGGCCACATGTGTCGTATTACTTTTTAAAAGGCATTATTCTGCAGATCTGTCCTTCACAGAAGCAGAGGATTCTCTGGAACAAAGCAGTTCTTCACACCTGGCCTTGTTTTTCCACAGTGCTTTTTGGTGGGGCAGAAATTCATACTTTTCCAAGCCTCTCTCACACTGTAGGGCTCAGCCACCCGTTACAGTGTGCTCTGCTAAGCAGATGATGCTATCCAAATAAGGTGGTGGTATACAAATTGTTTGGAAGGTGCCATGCTTGACCTGCTGCAAGTAGGTGCCAAGTCAAATTGCACGGCCTTCTGGATAATCCCCTGCTTGATGATTAATGAGCATTGCATCAGCTTTCCATGCTGGAAGTGTAGGTCTTGAAGAGTTAGTAGGTCATGGGAAGTGGAAATGAGTGTCAGGTATGAAGTCAGCTGCCTTATAAATACACTGATTCCCCCCCTCCCCCCCATACAGAGCTTTTCCTTTTCGGTTAACTGCAGCGTGGAGTGGCTCTTGAGGGAGTGAGGAAGGAACCCAACTTTTTAAAAGATGCAAATTGTTTCCTCTTTAAAAAAAAATTAAATGCAGGCATGGTTTTAAACAGACATGGGAGGTTATTGAAGCTGAAGTACTGCTCCGGTTGTTCTAGAATACAGGACCATGGAAACAGATTGAAAGAAAGAGCTTATTGCTTGAAGTTATAGCCCATTTAAGGACAATCTCAGTCATTTCTGTGGGACGTGGTGGCGCTGCGGGCTAAACTGCAGAAGCCTTTGTGTGCTGCAAGGTCAGAAGACCAGCAGACATAAGATTGAATCCACGTGACGGAGTGAGCTCCCGTCGCTTTGTCCCAGCTCCTCGCCAACCTAGCAGATTGAAAGCATGTAAATGTGAGTAGATAAATAGGTACCATTGCGATGGGAAGGTAAACAGCGTTCTGGGTCCAAGTCACGCTGGCCACGTGGCAATGGAAACTGTCTTCAGACAAACGCTGGCTCTACGACTTAGAAACGGGGATGAGCACTGCCTCCTAGAGTCGAACACGACTGACTAAAAGAGGAACCTTTACCTTTACCTTACCAGTCATTTCTGGCTCCCCAGGGTTGAAAATGGACTAGACAGCTAGGAGGTCTATAAGCTTCTCTCTCACACCAGGTCGTATTATTTTTAGATAAGATTACTGGAGCAGGATCCAAAGGCAAGGGTGAGAAGAACTAATCAACCCTATTGTTGAACGGCAGCTGTGGTAGATTGTGTTGAGAGTAGAAAGCATTCTTTGGATGATGAAGGAGGGTTGGGTTCACTTATTTATGGTGCCCACAGCATCCAGCATGGACATTTGTTGTTATTTCGGATATAGTGATTGGAGGCAGGCACTGTGAAATGGCTTATATGATCACCTCTCCTGTTAACGGACATCTGGTAAATCAATGAGAGGCCTCTTTATCACCTCCCAGTCACGTTTTTGAAGGCACCCCAAAGCACAGCAGTTAGGATTAGGATTTTCTTGAAATCATGGAAGATGGGTGAAGTACCAGCTGAGTAGAGGAGGGCAAATGTTGTCCCCATCTTCAAAAAGAAGGAACCTGGGAAATACAGACCAGCCAGCCTGACATCAGTCCCATAGAGAATTCTGGAGCAGACTATAAAACAGTCACTCTGCAAGCACCTTGAACACAATGCAGTAATAACCAGAAGCCACATGGATTTATCAAAAACAGACTCTGCCATATTAATCTTTTCTCATTTTTTGATTGGGTAACTTCCCTGGTAGATCGTGAGAATGCTGTAGACATAATATATCTTGATTTCAGCATAGCCTTTGACAAAGTGACCCATGATATTCTGATTAGCAAGCTAACTAAGTGTGGGCTGGATTGAACATCTATCTGGTGGATATATAGTTGCTACAGAATCATTCTCAGAGAGTGGTTATTAATAGCTCCTTCTCAAACTGGGAGGAGGTAACAAGTGGGGTACTACAAGGTTTGGTCCTGGGGCCCTTGCTCTTTGATATTTTTATTACTGATTTGGATGAGAAGGTGTAGAAAATGCTTAGGAAATTTGCAGATGATATAAAATTGGGTGTAATAGCTAATACCTTGGAAAACAGGAACAAAATTCAAAAATAGATTGATTGGCTTGAGCATAGGGCTGAAAACAACAGAATGAGGTTTAACAGGGATAGGTCCAGAGTGTTACACCTAGGAAAAAGAAAACATATCCAGAGTTACAAGATGGGAGATACCTGGCTTTGTAATACTACATATGAGAAGGATGTTTGGATTATTGTAGAACAAAAGCTGAATATATGTCAACAATGCAGTATGGCTGCAGAAAAGTCAATGCTGTTTTAGGCTGCATTAGTATAAGTATAGTCTCCAAATCCCATTAAATCCTAGTTCTCCTCTATTGAGCACTGATTAAGCCTCATTTTGGATACTGTGTCCAACTCTGAACACCACACTTTAAGAAGGATGCCAAGAAACTGGAGCGAGTAAAGAGGAGGGCAACAGGGATGATCAAGGGAATGGAAACCACACCTCATGAGAAAAGACTGAAAGAACTGAGCATGTTTATCCTTGAAAAACAGAGGACTGAGGGATATGATAGCACTATTCAAATACAGTACTTGAAAAGTTGTCATCCAGAGGAGGGGCAAGATCTGTTCTCAATCACTCCAGAGTGCAGGACATATGATAACGGACTCAAGTTACAGGAAGTCATATTTTGATTGAATATTAGGAAAAGCTGTTAGAGCAGTACAACAAAAACAGTTACCTTGAGAGGTGGCAAGCGCCCCAACGTTGGAGCCATTCGACATAAAATTAGACAATCTGTTATATACTATGGTTTGGATTCCTGCATTGAGTAGGGGGCTGAACTCAATGGCCTTAAACACCCCTTAAAACCCCATTATTCTATGATTGTCAGACCAACAGCATCTTATTGCTTGAGATGGCCATAACCTGAGGCCAGAAGGTAAGCCATTCTGTTATGGTGGGACTCAGAAGAGGGCGGGAACTGCTTCAAGGTGAACTTATCCTTCAAGGAAGCACAAGGCCGTCCACCTCCTCTCTTGCTTCTAATGGCAGAATAGGACCCAGTGTATGTACCTGCTAGCTCTCTTGCTAGTCATCTCCCCTTGCTCTCTTAACATTTTGTTCTCCTGTCACTGTGCCACCCCAATATACATACAAACAACTTTATGTTGCACCAGGGAGTTGCAATGCCAGCCAGGAATGAGTGGAGATGGGTGCCCAGGCTTAAAGCTACTTCACACTCCAAAACCACTTGCCCTGAGATAATTTATTTCTCTGCCTGAGACCTGGAGATGGGCAGGAATTCCCTGAAATGTCAGCCAGTGCCCTGAGACTTGACAACTCCATTTTGGAGTCTTGACTATGGCAGCATAGAGTCCCTGCACCCTTCTGTTTTCTATAATAGCAGGTTGAGGACAAGACCGAGCAGAAGCAGGAAATACATGGTAACATTGGAGGAAAGGTGCTGCAAATGCTTATTTAGGATAAACATATGTGACCACTCCTGCGCATTCCCCTATATGTGCGGACATTTAATCAAATCAAATCAGGAGGGCATTGAACAGATATGTCTCTGTTTTTCTCAGAAATGGCACTGTGCTACAACAGAAGGTTTGAATGATTCTATTTTGATGGGTTGGATTGAGTTTGTGGCGGAAGGGAACTTACGATGCTAATGAAGTGACTTTGGCTGGAACTCTGCATTTTCTATTAAACAATATTAGCTGAATGGGTCTTTTCATTCACTTTCCTGATTGGGCTATTTAGTAAAGCTTGTTGGAGGAAATGCATCTGTCTTACATCTGTGGTGCAGAAATGCTGAGCATCATAAAACACCAAGAGCATTCAAGGAGTGATTTATTTTTAGAGCTTGGCTAATTCCAATCAATTTCTTGGTAACCTTATGGCCAAAGCTGTGTGATGTTTGATGTGCTTCCTTGCCATGTACCTTTTTAACACCTCTGGAAAGTTCACAGTGGCCTTTTCCTTCTTTGGAATAAAAGAGCTGTAGAGACAACCTGGTCTCTACATACACTTTGTTGTTGTTGTTTGGTCGTTAAGTCATGTCCAACTCTTCGTGACCCCCATGGACCAGAGCATGGCAGGCCCTCCTGTCTTCCACTGCCTCCCGGAGATGGGTCAAATTCATGTTGGTCGCTTTGATGACACTGTCCAACCATCTCGTCCTCTGTCGTCCCCTTCTCCACTTGCCTTCCCACTTTCTCCACAACAGGGACTTTTCCAGGGAGTCTTCTCTTTTCATGAGATGGCCAAAGTATTGGAGCCTCAGCTTCAGGATCTATCCTTCCAGGGAGCACTCAGGGTTGATTTCCTTCAGAACGGGTAGGTTTGATATCCTTGCAGTCCAGGGGACTCTCAAGAGTCTCCTCCAGCACCACGATTCATTTTTTCGGTGGTTAGCCTTCTTTATGGTCCAGCTCTCACTTCCGTACATCACTACTGGAAAAACCATAGCTTTGACTATGCGGACCTTTGTCGGCAAGGTGATATGTCTGCTTTTTAAGATATTGTCTAGGTTTGTCATCACATACCTCCCAAGAAGCAGGCGTCTTTTAATTTCGTGGCCGCTGTCACCATCTGCAGCATTCGTGGAGCCCAAGAAGGTAAAATCTGTCACTGCCTCCATATCTTCCCCTTCTATTTGCCAGGAGGTGATGGGACCAGTGGCCATGATCTTAGTTTTTTTGATGTTGAGCTTCAGACCGTTTTTCCCCCGCTCTCCTCTTTCACTCTCATTACAAGGTTCTTT